CAGTAATATATATGGAGCTAAATTAACTTAAAATCCAAGGGAAATGTCTGATTTTCCTCACATGCTTTAGTTGTTTTAATTTTTGTGTCTGTTGTAGCAGGCACAAATAAATGGCTGAAGATGACAAGAAAAAAACCATGAGGGATGCAATGAAGCAGAAGCCTTAGGGATAAGGTCCTTTCTTTCCCAGTGTGAGAGCAAATTTGCAACCCTTGCTATCACTGTGCTTAGGAACATGTAGGCAATATGGCTTTGAAGGCAAAGCCTGGTTATACTTTAGCTGGTGTGTATTTTCTTGGCTCAACTGAGTAGCACAAAGATTGCTAAAATATTTTGCACTAGCAGAGAAGCTGCATTTAGGAAAATTTGACATCAGTTTAGGGCCTTATTTTGAACTGTATTTTTGGAAAGTATATCTGTAACTGCCTTTTTCATGCTAAAGCTACTTCTCTGTTTATATGTGAAGTTGCAGCTTTGGGGCTAAGTGCTCAGTATTAACCAGTGTTTGCACAGTAAAGTTTTAGAGTACATTAGGTGGTGTTATCATTACACTGTTATTAACACAAAGATAATGACCCAATTTTTCAGTTTCCCTAGCATATTAACCTCAGTGGGAAAAGTATTTACCACAGGAAAACCTTATGTGTGTGTCACATTTTAAGCAGTTTATGGTCATTTCAGTAGTTTTGATCATGAGAAAGAATTATTGAATGAACATGATTGAGTTCCTAAGAGACCTGTATAAGATATTTTCCAGGATTTAGCAGAGAGCTGTGCACTCTGTGGGCTCCTACCCATCCTCAATGAATTTTGGGGATTATGTTGAGAAGTTATTATGTATTATATATTACTGAATTCTGGCATTCTGGTTTGAAATAACCCTCTCTCCAGGCTCCTCTTGGAGGCATGGAGACTGATCTGGAGAAGAGAGATAGCACTAAAGTTGGTGTAGAGGAGGACTGCCCTATGGGGTGAATCTTCCCAGTGCCTCATGAACTGTCATTATATTAACTGCACTTAAAATAGCCCCACGTGTAATTTCTTTATGTGGGCTTCTTTGAATGAGACTGCAAGACTCAGAGATCACTGGCATCCATCCTGGCCACAAGGTCATCGGAAGCTGCTGTGCACAAGGCAGGTTGCTGCTTCACAAGCACAGGGGAACAGAGAAGTACAAAGACTGAACAGTAGCAAAGGTCAGCACCTCTTTTATATTTCCAATCAGATTGGCAACCCAGTCATTTTCATCTGCATTGTTTAGCAACTGGAGAGAAATTGGAGTTGACACAAGTTCTTGACTGTATCATTTTTTATTCAATTGAATCTTCAGAAGGCACATTTTTCTTTCAAAGTTTTGGCCTTTGTTGTAGGACATGAATCATACCTCTGATTCTTAATCTTTAAAAAAAAATAATCTTTAAACGTGGGTTGGGAAAGGAATTCAGCTGAAAACAAAGCGATATAAAGCAACAAACAGAGACTGAATGTGAGAGTAGCAGGAGGTGATAAATCCAGGGCCACGTTCAGATCTAGTGCAGACAAGCTAAGCATGCAGTGTGACACATACCCTCAGAGCCTGTGCTACTGCATGGGTTAAAAATAACACAGTTGTCAGATCTTAGCATGAGGATTCACTCAGCCAGCCACCTAGGTCCATGGCTCCACTGAGGTATATAGGCATACTCATCAATGTCCCCTTTAAAGTGGATTGGATTATTCAAATCCTGGATGTTAAATATGGGAAAGTTATGTGCCTCAGGCCAGCTTACTGAAAAAGAAGTTGCAGCGGACAAAGCTCAAGATAATATTTATAATAATAAATAATGAAAGTGGAAAGCTTGAAATAATATTTTACATACAAGCTGGAAATACAGATGCTGAAAAACAGGGCCAGCTGCTGCTCAAATCCAGCAGCTGAAGTTCTTAAGAAATGTCAAGTAAATTATAAAATCCAGGGTTGATGTTATCAGGAAAGTGGTGTGGGAAAGTAAAGAAGTGAAACAGTTTCTAAGCCCCACTCAGAAACCAGTCAGGAGATGCAGCTTTTTCACTCTCTGACCACTGAACACAGTGAGATATCCCAGTGACGTCCCATCCCAAGCCCAGCCTGAGGGTCCAATCGCTTGTGTGTGTCCCCGTGCCCTTAAACACAGTAGCGTCTGCAGCTGCTGTCCAGGGAGAGCAGAGCTACTGAGCTGGGGAGAGACCCACCGAATCACCAGCAAGGTGGCTGGAAGTGGAGACTCCCACCAGGTCAATGCTGGTCAATTAAGCATTAATACTCACAGGATAGCATAGATTACTAAAGATTTCTGAATAAGTAAGCCCCATGTCAAAGAAGCAATTCAAACAGTCAGCAAAATTATTTGATTCAATTGTCAAACTCTTAAGAAAATACCTACCTGTGTTCCTATGTCTGAGAACTTACATTTTCAAAACCCATTTCCTAGCTTTGTTTTTTCTGTTTTATCTTCTTGCGCTTTCAGACTCATGCTTCAGGTCTACACTGAGCCCCTTGCAAGCAAAACCTCTCAGATCTTTTCTATCTACCTGCTGTAGAAGGCTTTCAAAATAAACAAAACACCAATAATCAGTGCCAGCATTCCTAGCCATTTCTTATTATGTTCTTTCAGAATTATATTGATTGAAAATGCCATCTCTAATTAAAATATGGTAATAACTTGAAATGGATTCATTTTCTGACTCCCCCTACTCTATTAATGTTAATAAAAATAAAACAGGAGCTCTCTTTCTCTGTATTTTTCAACTCATTTATGTTACTAGAAATTCATACTGGAAAATATTCTCTCAGGTGGCTATATTATATGCGAAAATCCCTGAAATAATTATGCTAACATACCATGTTGATAAGCATACAATAAGCATCTGCAGAAATACCTTTGAGTTAACTAATTTATGAATACATCGATATGTAATTAATTTCTTTTTCATTTATCTTCCTCAGGGTTTACTGAAGAGGATCAGTTAGCTATTTTTCTGTCAATACTTTGTATCAGGTGAACCAGGCTATAAATTGAGCTATTTCAGTACACTGTTTTTGTAATTTGCCTGCCTCTTCCATTTTATTATTGCAGTAGTCATAACATCATATTTGTTTAAGTGCTGTGATTTTCTTCACCTGAGATTATGAGCTTCACCTGAAGATCATGAGATCATGCTTTGTAGCATGACACCACTGAATCCCCAGTTTGAGAGTGCAAGTCAAAAAGGTGCTAAGCAAACCTTAAAACTACTGTGTCTGGCTGCTGTAGCTGTACAGCTAGAATAAAGGGGAGCTGGAGAGCTTGGGGAGTAGGTGGTTAAACAGAAAACTACTGAGCAAGGTGTTTACAGTCCATTAAAGGAACAATCACCTACACAAGACACCTGTATGAAGAAACACCTGCAAATGATATGTCTAGATACATCTTTATAAAAATAAAAATAAATTTACATCTATGTGTGTACTTGCATATAGATGTATATACATGCATATGTATAAAATATATATATAAAAATATGTGTATGATATAAAATACACACACAGAGATGTAGACACACACATGCATGTATGCATGCATACATAGAAGGAAGGAGCAGGTATGCTGAGCAGGTTATAATTAGAAGTTGAATACATGCTTATCCTGCAAATAAGGCAATTACCCAGTTGAAACAGCACAGGACTGATTGATAGACTCCTCTCTCAAATGATGAGCTTTAGGACAATGCAGGCTATAGTACGTGGGGAATCACTCGTGTACACAGAGTATCCCAGATCATGGGCTTGGGCTGCCAGGCAGATGGACTCTGCCGCATGCTGCCTGGACTCAGGCAGTGTTATGCTCACTACCTGTGCTCCTGCCCCAGTGCCCAATTTGGCTGAAAGAGGATCCAGGATCCTGGTAAGACCTTATAAATGGACTCCAGAGCAGACACATAGGAATGTGCCTGCCATGCCAAAAGTGGGCTGTGACAGTTTAGGACCCAGGCACCCATCAACCCCCAGGAAGCTGGCAGCGACCAAGGGAGAACCAAATGAGTGATGCGCAGTGTGAGGTGGATCCTGGAAGAAACAGCTAACACATTGTAATTGTTATGACAATGACCGTAAATACTAATTTATGAAACCTATTTCTTTCCAAATTATCTTTTTTCCTCTACTGTGTTCCTTAAATGCATGTGTGAATTGTGATTTACTTGGAGAGCAGGCTGCTGCCAGAGCAGGGCTCCAGCAGATACGAAGCTTTTCTGTTTTACAGTCCTCTCATTTCACATATTGAGTTCAAATAAATTTGATTCTTTCATTTTCTTGGATTCTAAAGTACAATTTGTTGAAAGGCTGAAATAATGAAAGACAAAATTGCAGATAAAGAAACATCTTCTACATATCCAGTATAGCAAGTGACGATATTTTTTTACTTCAAAAAATTCAGTTAGCAGCTCTGGCTACTTAGCCTGAGTGCATTGAGTTACGGACAACTCTTAATTGCCAACGATGCCACGAAATAGCAATTAAAAATGGAAACATGCATTTTTCAGCTTGAGAAATGGGAAGATTTGGCTCACAGGAGGTCAATGTACTCCCAGCTCAAAATGAAATGTGTGGCAAAATCTCAATCCAGTTTCCTTCTACACCATTCTGTGAAGGGGTGTAAACTGCTATATACTTCTGAAGCCTGTGACTGCACTTCCTATCTTAATGCTATTTGGACACATACGTATTAATGTCAGGCAACACTGTGCTTTGTTCGGTCAATTACAAACTAAATGAACTCAGAATTAATACACATGAAACTGATTGGACCCATGACAGGTGGCTCTGCTTTAAAATCACTTAAAACACCCAAAAAAAAAAAGCTTCACTGTCTTGAGTAAAAAAGGATTTTGTTTCTTTTGTTTTATTTGTTTTTCTAAATGGAAGGAAGAAGCAAGAATACAATGCCTGGGTGTTGAGACCAATACGTTATTCTTTTCTTTCTTCTTCTTATTTTTTTTTCTAGGTATAAAGCTATAGTAAGGCCAATGGAGATGCAAGCATCCCATGCGCTGATGAAGATTTGTGTGAGAGCTGCTATAATCTGGATTGTATCCATGTTGCTTGCCATCCCTGAAGCAGTGTTTTCAGATCTGCACCCTTTCCATGACAAAGGGACTAATAAAACCTTCATCAGCTGTGCTCCTTACCCACATTCAGACGGGCTGCATCCCAAAATTCACTCAATGGCATCATTTCTCATCTTTTATATCATTCCTCTATCTGTCATTTCAGTATATTATTATTTCATTGCTAAGAATTTGATCCGGAGTGCTTACAACATCCCCGTGGAAGGAAACATGCACGTGAGGAAACAGGTAGAGACTTAACTTTCTTCAAAAACTCACATTCCCTCTGAATCTGGGAGTAAAGAGGGAATGCAGGGAAATTTATACTGGGATAGACTGCATCTGATTAGGTGGGCTAAAGGAATTAAAATGGTTGAAACAAGCCATGACACAGGGCTAAACAGTTAAAGCAGCTTCTCCTGTTTCTAAGTTCAGAGACTTTGGCAGGGTGGTTACCATGGCAAATGTAGCAGGAAACCCATGCGAAGGTGTTTGGAAAGAGGCAGAGCTGGGTACAATGTTTGGAGACTGAAGCTGATGGGTGACACAGCAGAAAATCAAAACTTCTCAAAACTGCTTTGTCAGAGCGGACCCTAGATAAAGCCTTGCGCCATGAAGCAGAACCTCTTCACACAGAGAAAAAGGCTGGCTCTGTAATTCAGTACTCTGGACTGAAAAGCGAATGGAACACAGCAATGGGGGAGTGAAGGCGGGGCAAGCCCCTTCTCCAAGGGCTCCCCCAGGGCCAGGAGCACTGGTGAGTCAGGGAGGTGCGTGGCAGCTCCACAAGAGCAGCAATGCCTGCTGCACTCACCATGGCTCCAGATCTCATCCACTCATGCTCTGCCATGTTGAGAAACCAGTACAGGCTAGAGGGACACTGAGGAAATGGAGATCATACGAGGACAGTGGTGGGCACAGGGTCTCAAGGAGGGAGGATGGAACGGGACAGTGTGGGGTCCTCACAGATGCGCTGAAGTTCTGTGCCTTGTGGATGGTTTGATTTTTGCAGTGTGCAATCTCAGGAAAAAAGAAGAGTCCTGGCTTCTTCCTTTAAACTAGTTGGTCATTGTCTTTTTAAAAGTGCCTCTTTCTAGGGTTTCTGGAGGGAAGTGGTGTTGGACAGAATAACCTACACACCTGTTGTATGTCCTCTGTTATAAGCCAGACTGGTTAGTCTTCTGGTCCAATAGCTGTTAGCTTTCACCTTAGTCTTTGATTCGTATAATCAGGCCATTTGCTCTGGAATAATGCCATCTTTTAACTGTTCCTTTATACCTTTGAAAGCACAGTTACTTCTGCTACTGTCATTCACAAGTGGTTTTCTTTTATAGAACTCCCCAAACCATACCACTGCAGAGCTCACGGTTGGAGCTGCTCAGCTGGGACCCATATATTTCAAATGGGTTTCATGCCCTGGCTGAAAATGTGCAAGTCCTGAACCAAGTGAAGGGAATTAGCCAGGATTTGGCCAACCTAACTCCAGCCTTTCAGGTGGAGATTGCTTCCTCTTGGCTGCTCCTGTTGTATGCAACTGGAGAGAAAGAATAATCTCCAGGGGGAAATCCAAATCCTGTATGAGTAACTGGGTGTTTCAGGTCAGTGCTTAAATGTGAATGCATCTGAGCCTTAGGCTTTCCAAGTAAGAAAGCAACAGCAGGGTAATTTGTTTCTGAAAAACTTATTTACCTTATTTACCTTAACTCTTCCTTTCAACCAAGGCATGCTTCAGCCTAAGGTAAACTGACAAGCCATTCTTCAATTGAATAATTATTCATATAATTGCACCCTGCTGGTATCTCCACCTTAGGATGACCTATTGCTATGATCTCATGCAGACTTCAGGTGCTCAGGTGAAACAGTAGGGCTGGAAAGTTGTGTTTTCTTCCCATCACAAGATATCTGATCCCAGAAATCCTTACCCTTTCAGCCTTCTGAATGTGTGTAACTCTTTCTCCCTTGCAGGCCATTTTTCTGCTGATTTGATGACTGTTTTGATTAGTGACAATAAAGTGAGTAGTAAAAACAGCCCTTTCCCCCTTTGGTTTTGGGGAGAGAGCCCTAAAGAAAGTAAAAGGCCAGGCTGCAGTCTAGTACTGTCAGTCCATCATTCGTATCCTGCAGTGCATTCAGGAGCTATAGGTCTCCATCTGAGATAACTGGTATTGATTTCTTTATTGCATTGCTTCCTTTCTTTATAGTGCAGATGTGGCCTCAATGGCCCTATATCAAATTAAGGACACACTTAAAAAGAATATATGGTTTAGACAAGGAGAACCCGTTCTCAAAGGATTTAATTTTCAGCCTGTTCTCTAGAGACATTATCATCTCGTACATGTCAATCCTTCCTAAGCTCAGTGCCTGATCTTCAGTCAGTGCTGTTAAAGGGGCACAAAATAAAGTCAAAATGGGCTTGTCACGTCTCTCTTGCCTGTTACCTGCTTGCAGCTGTCCTGAGGAAAGATCAGCCTGTGTAAAATGCTTAGTTTCTAATTTAGCCATGCAGCTCGGAAGGGGAGTGAGCATGGGGAATTGTCCCAGGAGCCTGACCAGGCACCACAGCTGCACCAGGGCAGAAGCAAGGGCAGCAAGGTGGGGTCTAGGGGCAATTTCAGGCCATTCAGGTCCTAATCAAACACAGGAAGGGGCATGCAACCAATTCCCTGGGAGCGCCTGGGAAGAGGTGCACAGATTACCAGAGGGGAGAATGTTATGAAACCCTAAAAAGTCAGTGGTGTTACACTTCACATGCCTGCAAACATGTGGCTGCACAACCTCTCCCAAGGAGCAGTGTATATTATCAGGTCTTTCTGGTCAACTCTGTCCACCCTCTCCTTTTGGGCAACCTCTGTTGTGGCTCTTGTGTTCATTAGGAAGAAAGATGTGTTTTTCAGTGGCATTGTTATCTTAGCTTGCGGCACTGGTGGACGAAAGACAAGGTACAGGTTACCTCAGCTCCCCTCACCTGAGCAATACCTTTGGGTTGACTCCAAGCCTGTACACATAAGTAAAACAATAGTGTGGCTTGTCTGCATGAGGGTTATACTGTACGCTAGGGAACATTGTAAAAGCAGCTTTCCCTGAAAAAGCTCAAATTGTGCTAAAAGAGGTAGTCATCCATCTATTCACCACCTACATCTGCTGTCTCATGGCCCTAACTCTTTCAGCTGAAGGGTGCACGTTGCCATTGCCTCTGTTTCTCAAAGTGCAGAATTTCCTCTCTCTGTTTCTCTGGCTCCTTCAGCCTCTGAGTGCTGTGTTTGGTCTCTCAGGGCCGTGAGTTGTTGGCAGCACTTTTGTGTACATACACAACATGGCCCCAGGGCATAAAGTCCTGCCTTTGGTCTTTGTGAAAGATCCCAGACCCCTCAACCATAATTAATAACAATAACAGTAATAGTAAGAAGTTAATATATAAAAATTGCATACGTCGATATTATATGTGGATAACTAATGCAGATCACAGAATCGTAGAATGTTTTGGGTTGGAAGGCTCCTGAAAGCTCATCTACTTCCAACCCCCTGCCATGGGCAGGGACACCTTCCACTAGACCAGGTTGCTCAAAGCCCCATTCAATCTGGCCTTGAACACTGCCAGGGATGGGACAGCCACAACTTCAAGCAACTTGTTCCAGTGTCCCACCACCCTCTTAGTGAAGAACTTCTTTCTAATATCTAATCTAAATCTACCCTCTTGCAGTTTGAAGCCATTCTCCCTTGTCCTATCTCTACATGTCCTCATAAAAAGTCCCTCTCCAAATTTCTTGTAGGTTCCTTTAGGTACGGAAGGCTGCTTTAAGGTATCCTTGGAGTCTTTTCTTCTGCAGGCTGAACATCCCCAACTGTCCCAGTGTGTCTTAATAGGAGAGGTGTTCCAGCCTTCTGATCATCTTCACGGCATCCTCTGGATTTTCACTAACAGGTCCACATGCTTCTTATGCTGGACACGCTACTCCAGGTGAGGTCTCACAAGAGCAGAGGAAAGGAGGAGAATCACCTCCCTTAACCTGCTGGTCACACTCCTTTTGATACATCACAGGATATGGTTGACTTTCTGGGCTGCAAGCAGACATTGCTTTGTCATCTTGAGCTTCTCATCAACCAACATCCCCAGGTCTTTCTCCTCAGGGCTGCTCTCAATCCATTCCCCACCTAGCCTGTATTTGTGCTTGGGATTCACCAACCCATGTGCAGGACCCTGCATTTGGCCTTGTTGAACTTCATGAGGTTTGCACTCACCCACCTCTCAAGTGTGTCAAGGTGCCCCTGGATGGCATCCCTTCCCTCCAGCATGTTAACTGCATCACATAGCTTGACATCATTAGCAAACTTGCTGAGGGTGCACTCAATCCCACTGTCCATGTGGCTGAGAAAGATGTTGAACAGTGCCGGTCTCAATACTGATCCCTGAGGAGCAACAATTGGACATTGAGCCATTGACCAAAACTCCTTGAGTACAGCCATTCAGCCAATTGAGTACAGCAATCCAACCAATTCTTCGTCCACTAAGTAGTCAAAATTGGGTCTCACCAGTTTAGAGACAAGGATGTCATGTTGGACAGTGTCAAACACCTTGCACAAGTCTAGACAGATGACATGAGTTGCTCTGCCTTTATCCACCAAAGCCATAACCCTGTGTCATGGTTTAAGCCCAGCCGGTAACTCGGAACCACGCAGCCGCTCATTCACTCCCCTCCTTCCTTCCTCCCCCCACTCCGGAGGGATGGGGAGGAGAATCGGAGGAATGTAACTCCCACAGGTTGAGATAACAGCACTCCAGTAACTAAGTTATAATACAAACCACTACTGCTAACAATAATAATGATAAGGGAAATAACAAGGGGAGAGGACACAACCGCTCATCACCCGCCGACCGATATCCAGCCCGACCCGAGCAGCGATCTGGGCCTTCCGGGTAACTCTCCCCAGTTTCTATACTGGGCATGACGTGCTGTGGTATGGAATAGCCCTTTGGCCAGTTTGGGTCAGGTGTCCTGTGTCTGCTTCCTCCTGGCTTCCCCTCCTCCCTGGCAGAGCATGAGTCTGAGAAAGTCCTTGGTCGTAGAAGGCCAGCAAATTTGTCAGGCATGATTTGCCTTTAGTTGAGACATACTGGCTGTCACCAATCACCTCCTTATTGTCCATGTGCCTTAACATAGTTTCCAGTAAGATTTGCTCCATGATCTTGCCAGGCACCAAGGTGAGACTGACTGGCCTGTAGTTCTGTGTCTTCCTTTCCTCTTCTTAAATTGGGGGTTATGTTTCCTTCCCCTTTTCCAGTCAGCGGGCACTTTAATGTTGACTTCTCACATATGATGGCTAGTGGCTTAGCCACTTCATTCACCAGTTCCCTCAGGGGCTGCAGATGCATCTCATAAGGTCCCATGGAGTTGTTCACCTTCACGTTCCTTACACAGTCTTGAACCTTATCTTCGCCTATAGTGGGAGATTTTTCCATCTCCCAGTCTCTGACTTTGCCTTCTCTGACTTGGGCAGTGTGGCTGGAGCACTTGCCAGTGAAGACCGTGTCTTTGTGATGGCAGTGAGATCATAGCCCTGCAGGCATGTGCATGTCTCTAACTCCTCTTGTTTATTCCCCATGCATTTGCATAAGGCGTTTAAGATGGGCCCCCAATGAAGTCAACTTATTGGGTGGAGTGGTTGCAATTCCTTTGTGCTGCTGTTCAGGTGCTTTCCTGTAATCCCCCTCCAGGCCCTGGGCATCTATTGCTGATGTTGGCATCAAACTGGTAGGAGTGCAAGATAGCAGATATCCACACTTTTGTTGCTGGAGCTGGGATTTTACGAAGTGACAAACCACTGGAATTTTATCTCTAAGCAGGAAAGGAAATGCTACTTCTTACGTAATAAATTTTCAGAATTATTTGGGTTTAGGGCAAGGGGTTGAGGTGAGACAAGGAGGGTTCTTGACTCTGTGTTCACCTGCAGACCAGGTTGCCCTGCTCTGGCCATGCTGCCTGCCATGCTCTAATCCTAAAGCTGCATCACTGGCAAAAATAGTTAGCTACTGGTCTGAGCTAGGAATAGCTGCTAATCTGCATTTCTCTTTCTTCTTCCAGATTGAATCCCGTAAGCGTCTGGCCAGGACAGTACTGGTCTTTGTGTGCCTCTTTGCTTTCTGTTGGCTCCCCACTCACATCATCTATTTATACCGGTCCTATCACTACTCAGAGGTGGACACCTCAGTGCTGCATTTCATTGCCAGCATCTGCGCTAGGATCCTGGCATTCACTAACTCTTGTGTCAACCCATTTGCTCTCTACTTGCTCAGCAAGAGCTTTCGGAAACAGTTCAACAACCAGCTGCTCTGCTGCAGAGCTCGCCTCCTCATCCGTTCCCAGAGCATGGCCAGGAGCACCACACGAATGACCTCCCTCAAGAGCACCAACCATTCCCTGGCTACTTTCAGCCTTATCAATGGCAACCATGCCTGCCACGAAGGCTATGTCTAAAGGACACAGTCAGAGATGGCCGCATCATGTACTTAGCATTAGCTGCTTGGTTTTGCCCTGTGGGGATGGTGAGTAACAGACACATTCATGCATACACACACACATGCACACGTGCATACAAGGAAGTCTGGTGTGCGCAGACTTGAAGAGGAGCTTGAAGCATCCAACATTTCATCCTGGACTAAGGTTGAAACATCCAACATTTCACCTTGAACTATGCCGTCGCCAGAGCAGCAGATCATTCATTGAGCACCAGCCTACAAGAGCTCCCTGGCAAGTGCTGCGTTGCTTCAAGATATGTTGCTTTTAGTGAGAGCGAAGTGAGCATCTTAAGATCAAATCTAATTTGGCTCTGCAGGTTCTTCATCACTTTCTGCTCAATCCCAAACTCAGGCAGAATTACAGCAGCAGTGACAAAGACCATACCAGGTGCACAAATTTGTCAGAACAATTGCATCCAGAAGTTCATGGTATAATATATTTTGACACCAAAATAAATCCATTTAAATAAGGTGAATACTTTTACAAAATACTTCAATGTAGGTCATTTACAGACTTTTCAAGTATTTATTAATGTTCTGAGTGCAGTATTAATTCACGGTATAAAAGATATCAAGAGTTTACTGGGGCATGTCGGTGGCCTCATCTGGAATGAGCAGTATATTGCACCACTTCAATGTGAAAACGGTAACATGAATAAATGTGAGTTGGAATACGTTTACAGTTTTCAAATGTGTGAGCTTTTGCCATGCTGTGCAGGAGACAGCAGGGTATTTTCTAAGCATTACTATTTTGCTCTTCCTGTCTTCAAGGTGTGATGCAGTGCATGTCTCATCACCTAAGGCGTACCACAAAATTTTAGTTGGGTTTGGCTAAAGCCAGGCAATTAACAGAAAATTAAGCACAGCTATTTTTCATGCACTAGTGCTTTGTAAAACACTCTAGTTTCTCAGTAAAAGTTATCAGCAATGCAAGGTCTGATCTCCAACCCACAGGTTTTTTCCTTCTATTTTCCCACAGTTTCTTTCTGTCACAGAAATCTGTGCCAGAAATGGCTAACAAATTGGAGAAACAAGTCTTCTGTAATTTTCACTCCAAAGCAGTTTCTGTGCCAGGTAACAGCTGTTCTGGAAACAGGAGCACTATGTCCTAGAGATAACAAACTCTCAAAGCGCATGAACTATGGGACAGGGCGGTAAAGTTGCACATGTGATAAAGCTGCTGCAAAATGAGGCCATAAACCAATCACTGTAGCATAATATCAAGTTTTTAATCGTCTTCATCCTCTTTGATGGTGATCCTTTTCCTTCCCATGGCAAAAGAAAAATGAAAACAGGTAAAACTTTGTGTTGGACTTGCTCTGTGAATATAGAAAAAGTCCTGCGTGAAGTGTAAAAACACTCAGCCCTGCACCTGTGGCTGCTCAGGGATGCTGGTGGGAGCTGCTGTCTCCAGGGATTGCAAAAGGGCTGTGATGTCAAAAACAGAGCTCTGAACACTTTGACTGATTTTGCCTTTGAGAGAAGCTTCCTCCAGGTGAGGCTCAACACGAAGATACGTGAGGTCAGGATGTGGCCACACGACCCTGCTGATGTGCAGTCCTGCCCTGTGTCCCCTCTGTCCCTGGGCACCCCCACCTGTGTCACACACTCCTGCAGTCATGAGTGCCCCCACACCCCAATCAGCCTGAAAATTAATGTGATGGGTCAATTTCCTTGCTTAGCTGACTGTGTAGCTATGGCATTAATTTCAATTTACTGGCCTGTCTGAGGTCCTCATTTACTAAAATCTTCAGCCGGATGCTGC